GCTTCTCGTGCTTGCTCCGGTTGGCCTGCTCTTGCTGGAGGTAGGCCATGATTTTGGCCTGGACTTGAGGCCCGTCCGGCTCGCACTTGAGCAGTTCCAGGATCAGGTGGGGGATGCTCGCCGGCGAGCCGGTCTGGTAGCTGTCCACGTAGGAGTAGCCCAGGACCGACTCTGGGGAGCTGGTGTATGGGTCGGGGTACTCCGACTTGATGGCCCGGCTAGGGAAGTGGCCATAGGTTTGGTAGCCCTGCAGGCTGCCTGGAGGCGGCATCGCCATGCTGATGGGCGACGTTACAAAGGGACTTCTGTCGTAGTCCGTGGGAGGCAAGGCAGCGTGGTTCAGAGGTAGGCCTTTGCTGGCAGAGTGGATGTTCTGAATCGCCGAGGAGATGGCGAGCTCAGAGGGCATCGCCTGGATCACCTGCGACACGGCCTCCAGCTTGAGCCCGTTGGCCCGGATGAGGGCTTTTTTCTGTTGCTTCAGAGCTCTGTCTCTCTTGTACATTGGCCCGAACTTGTTCCTTCCTCCGCGCATGCGGTCGGCCCTCACCGCTGTCGGGAACAAAAAGGAAGTCAGGGTATAAGTTAGATGCAAATTATTAGCATTTTCCACATCTCCGGATACTTGTAATTTCATGTCAAAAACTGACCAGAACTGCTATGTGTGTGCTTGTTTTCATTACAATAGCTCACAAAGATTCCAAAAAAAAGAAAAGAAAGCCACGTCCTCTTTATTTATGAATTCTTTCCTCCAAGTGTGTTTGTCATCAAAAAAGTATTTTGGATTCGTCGGAACATAGTAACCCTTTGGAGGACTGAAGAGATTTCATCCTGTTCGCTTACACATGGGGGACATGACCCATTACTAAGAAAGAGCATCATTTCCTATTATGCCAGTTACCCTGGGACTCTTTGCAGAACCCAGACTGCGGAGAGGAACCACAAAAAATCAATGAACCCGTTTCTGGATCAAACTGTGATCATTTTCCCTGTGAATATCTTCCTCC